GAGGCCTCGGTCATGCCCTCACGGACCATCTGCTGGCATTGCATAGGGCTGCTAAAAATTGGGTCCAGTGCTTTTTCTAGGATAGACTGCCAAGATTTCTACTTCTATCAACCACACATTAGCTGATGGGCTGGCCTGATGAGTCATATTTCACAATAATTTGATAGTGGTGTGTTTGTTAAAGCCAGTATCATCAGCATTGTTGCTGTTATTATAATACTAAAGGTTAGGGATTTGAACAACCCTACTGTTATGGAAGAAAAAAAAAAAAGTTATTGCATCACAAATCTTAAAAGTATAATTTAAAAAAACAAAAGCTGTATTTGCTGATAACTGAATATTAACTAAATGAAAGGTCACATAAGTGTACTTAAAGAGTACACTTTAATGACTGTTTCTTATACTTAATTATACTTAAAGTGCACTTTGTAATTCTGTAAAATGATAAAAAGGTTATCGCCCAACACTAAAAGTTCTTGATTATAATATCTGTCATGTCATTCTATATTAATATATTTTAAATGTACTAAATTGTGTTTTCATCATTAGAAATGTGTAATTACAAATATATTTAAGTACAGTACACACAGGTTTCAATAGAAATTACATGAAAGTATATTCTAGTTTACTATAAATGCTTGTCAGTTCTGCAGTACACTTTACCCATATTTCAAGGACAGAGAATTATGACATTTTATATAAAGACGTACATAAGTTCTACTCAGGTGGGTCAAAAAAGCACTCTAAAGTTGCATTTGAAATGAATTTAGTGTACATTTTAATTTAATTTTAAATAGCGGCCAAATAAGTGTCACTGAATGTATATTCAGAGTATATACACAAATGACTATTTCTGTAATAAGTACTTTACATAAAAAGTATGATAAAGATTACTACTTTTTCACAGAAGTAATCATTTGATAATTGATACTCCATAATACTTAAAGCATTAACTAAAATGAAAAATTAAACTGATGTTGTTACAACAGTTTTCATAGAAGTAGATATAAATCTTCTTAAGTGGTAGATTGAAATATTAATTTATTTAAAAAAAAAAGTGAATTGCAAACACAATCAGTTTTTAAACAGTCATTTTTAGACTTTACTCATTTTTTATTTTATCTGTATCTTTGTTCTTTTTTTTACCAATGGAAATTAATTTCCTTTGCTAATATCAGCCAATGAGTTTTTTTCTCTTCCTGTAGTTTTATCAGCACATGCTCACATAGAGCTGCCGTATTACTCCAAGTTTCTGCTAATTGCTGCATACCTGGCGTCCTTTAACCCTGCCCGCACAGACCGCCGCTTCTTCCTCAAGGTGTATTAGAGCTTTCTGATCTTCTCGTTGTCTACACATGACTTTTCATGAATGCATCTTTATGAATCATGTGATCACTAAAAAAAAGGCTTGTCTTTGCTTTAGAGTCACGGGAAAATAAGAAAGACTAATTTCTTGAAGAAACATGAGAAGGTGAGAAGTTGCTTATTTTTCAACACTACTTCCTGCAAGTTTATTAATATAATCTATCTTTTTTTCCTTTTGATTTTGTCTTTTTGCTGCAGACTAGTAACCATCTGTTGGGACCGAAGCCTTTTCCTCTTGACAGACTGATGGCCATATTCTACAGTGTTGTTGATAGCAGAGTTGCACCTACAGCTAGTATCTTCTCACAGGTAAATTAATGGATCAAATGATGAGGTTTGGCAAACAATTGTTTCAGATAATAACAAACTATGCCATTCATTTTAATTAGCTCATTTGAGGCAACAAGACATGATTTATGTTCAATGTGGTAGCACAAGCAAATCTTGAAAATTTCTGGGTGGCAGTGTTTCATCTTTTTTTTTATTATTATTATTACTTATTTTGTCAAAATGTAATTAGTTTTCCTTGATAAATTAACAGAGTATTTTGATTAATACCTAATTATCCATTTTACAATTGTGACTTCAAGGCCTTTAAAAATAATCAATACAATTTTGAATCTTGAGATTTTTTTTTTTTTGTGCTGTAAAATATTTCATAGGTTAGATATTGCTCTTTATAAGAGCTTGTGTAATTTAAAACTTGTTTGAAAGCAAGCATAATAACCTTATTTGTTTTTTAAGGTTAACTGCCTGTGTGACTCATTGTGTGACATTTACATCTTAATAACTTTTCTAATAAGGTTTCCTATGGGACACAAATTGGTGGCAATAATGAAATCATTATAATACATATGAAATACATTGTTTGGTTTCTGTCTTACAGATTTCGTCACTAGTTACTCTGCAGCTTCTCTCTCAGGTGGGGCATGATGACCAGCTGGACTCACCCAAATACAAATGTTCAGTTTCACTGGACTTCATTCTTGCGATCTCCAGGTTTGTGTGAGATTGTTTGACCTTTTGGCCCTCGGTCTTGTGATCCAATCACAAGTGGTCAGACGAGAAAGATCACTGTTTACACCTGTTAGTAACGTGCATCTTCTGTGACTGCTTGTGATCTGATTTCAAGTAGAGGATGTCTCATTTTGTGTTTACGTCACTATCTACTTTAATGCATTACTCCATACACATTACCTTACACAAGAACTTGGTTCTGACCATTTGCGGTCATATTACCTAAAACGGAGTTCATTCCAGGTATAAACAGTGTCTTTGATTACATTTAGGTGCAAGTAGAATTAAGGCTGGGTATCGAGTTCGATATTTTTTAGGCACCGACCGAATTGCCTCGATATCATCGAGTATCGATTGTCAGATTTTGATACCTAAGGGGTTAATCTCATCAAAGTCAGTGAGCCAATAAGCATGCAGCATGCTTTATGTGCTTAAATCAGTGATTGGCTCTGGCGAGGCATGGAGGAAACCATGGTACGTGACCATTCATTCACACTGTAGCATCATGCTACAGAAGACAATTTATAAAACTTATACAATGCTTTACTCAAAACTCAATTTGAACCACCATGGAGTGTTTGTAATAACTTCCGATTGTGATATAATGGGTTTTGGTCATACAATGTTGCAGAAATATGTTATTTGTAGCTTTTTATATCAAGCTAATCGTTACACCTGCTAGCATTTCTCATGTAAACACACTGTATTGCTATGAAAATAGACAGAATCCCATGAAAATAACATACAAATCATATACTGTCGTAATCATGTGTTTATTAGCTTCATGTTTCATCCCTATAAATGTTTTTCTGGAAGTGTAACGCACGTTCGTCATCGGAGAAAGGGCGGGTTATAAACACGTAATATGATTGACAGATGAGCAGCGAATGAGCTTCCTCTGAGTCAGTACAGCGATCGCGGAAGAGAAAACACAAGCAGACAGCGCTAGAAGCAACTAATGCTCATCAGATCACGTAAATCAGTGGAAAATGAATAGAAATGATGATTCTGTTTTAAAATGAAAACGCATTAGTGTAAATGTAGCCTAGGGACATTAGTCCTGGGGACATCATCAGTGAAGAGAGGGCTTGTCTGTCTCCTGAAAACATTTTTTGAAGAAGAATTGCTGAGTGATTTAAAAATCTTAAGTATGCAGCAGTGAACCTCACATAGTGACTTAAAACTTCATTTTGCACTGAAATCTATTTGAACTTTATTTAAACTATTTGCACTGATTAATTGGGTAACACTTTACTTGAAGGGGTGTGCATAAGACTGACATGACACCTTCATAATCATGACATGACACCTGTCATTAATATGAAGGAGGTTTTATGCATGTTTATGACAACTGTCATTAAGTGTCATTCGCTCAGTTATGTCATTTTTAATGCAAATATGACATTATTTGACCTAACCCTAACCTAACCTAACCCTACCCTTACCCCTAACCATAGCCCATAACAAAGACATCTCAAAAAATGTCATCTTTGCATTAAAAATTACATAACTGTGCGAATGACACTTAATGACAGTTGTCATAAACATGCATAAAAAACCTTCATATTATGTAGGTGTCATGTCATGATTATGAAGGTGTCATGTCAGTCTTATGCACACCCCTTCAAGTAAAGTGTAACCATTAATTGTGTTGGTTACATTTTGTTCCTTTGTGCAGTGGCTCAGGAGATGAGTCTTTGAGTCTGTAAAAACCTCAACAAACTGAAAAAAGAAAAAAGTTTTATGAGGAAATGTGTAATGTAATCTTGTTAAAATTAATTTCATGACATTGGTATTGAAAAAGTATCTTTCAGGAACTGGTATCGAAGTCAAGGTATCAATATCGAAAATGTTTGAACGATACCCAGCCCTACATATAATAGTTTGGTTGTGTGCTAGTTTGTTGACTATTTATCTGCTTTTCATTCTAGAACTGTAGGCTTCGATGTGGTGAAGTATCTGTACGACTTCCTGTGATCCTCTTGCAGTGGATATGAACCAGGCATCTAATCGGACAAAATCACATCACTTGGAATTATGGACGTGAATAGACTGCAGGATAAAAGATGTTACAGGAACTTCCTGCATTTATTAGTCCAATCAGATGTCACCATAGGAAAACACTCAGTTTATACAAGCGACTCTTTCTTCAAAGGGAAATTTGATGGGTTTGGTGTGTTGATGTGTGACACAACTTATTATTGGTCTAATAAATACTGTACAGTTTGTTACAATAATGGGTCCTATTTACTTTTCATACTGTACCGTTCAAAAGTTTGGGGTCGGTATGAATTTTTAAAAATGTTTTTGAAAGAAGTCTATAATGCTCACCAAGGCTGCATTTATTTGATCAAAAGTACAGTAAAAATAGTTATTGTGAAATATAATTACCATTTAAAATAACTTGTTTTAATAGTTTTTAAAATGTAATCTATTGTAGTGATGGCAAAGCTGAATTTCCAGCAATCATTACTCATTGATGGATAGAAGAAAAAAAACAGCATTTAATAGAAATCGTTTGTAACATTATAAATGTCTTTACTGTCACTTTTGATCAATTTAATGCATTCTTGCATAGTAAAAAAATATTAGTAAAAAAAGTCACACTGACCCTTTTAAAAGAAGGGGCTCTTATGTGTGCTCTGCTCAAAGTGTATTCTGCTAAGAACCAGTACAATCTCTACTAGTAATTGATTGTTTTAAATAATGAATTTATATCTATTAGGCTTTATTCCCATCTGCTGGTGTTCATGCAGTGTTTTTGCAGCATGATGGCTGGCATAACATCCCTCCCAGGCTTCATGGTAATACCACAGCTGCACATGTCCATTCAGCCACATTTAAATGAGTGAGATATCTATATTGCAATATGTTTTGTGTGATTTGGATCCTTTGTAGAAGAGTAGCTCAGCTCAGAGGACTGGCCTCCTTATCCTTTTGCGACAAGATGGCAAAGCTGTCATGAATACCAATCACCCTCTCAGATGCAGACTAACACAACCCAGAACAATGACTAAATGAGGATCTGGGAGAAAGGAACTGTGTGTGCAATGGAGTGTAAGTGATTAATTGAAATTTAGGTTTTTAGTATTGCGGTCTGTTAATTCAGCTTTTCAGAGGTTTCTGATGCTGCGTCTGACTCACAAGGTCTCCATGGTAATAGATTGGGGTTGTCATAGAAACTGAAGGACCACCGTTAAAAAGGCTCCAAATGTGACTCGTGTGTTTTCTCACACACTGTGACGTAGTTTGAATAGAAGATAGGGGCTTGAGACACAAGGGCAAAGGGCCATTTTGGTGTTGGCAGTTAATTAATACATGCATGAACTTACACCATTGTCAGTTATTAGGTTTTTAATGTCCAAATGGAAGCATGAGCAGTTCATTAACAAGCTTAAAGTAGGTCCTGTAGTCCTACAACAGAAGGCACCTTTATAACATGTCTATGCGAATGCAGAATAAGCCACTTTCATTCTGCAGAGACTAAAATTATATGCAATAGTATTAAATATAGTATGCACATACTGTATCTATAAAGAAGTAAACATTCCCGACCTGACAAGAGTTTGACATGCAGTGGAATACTTAATCGAAAACTATCTTAACTAATGTGTATTCTAGAAATTATTTAAATTGAAATTCAATTAATATGAGTTTTTTTTTTTTTTTTAAAGACCTTATATTAATTGAGAGACTAGATCAGACTGGGGAATCATTTAAAATTATGTTAAAAAAAGATGAAATTATTAAAAATGGTGACCATTTACAGTACCAAAAATAATTTTTGAACATTCATTAAAAAAAATTAACTTACAAAAGTGGACAAACACTTGTTCAAAAGGTTTGTTTTTTTTTAATTGAGCAAGGACTCGTTAAATCGATCTAAAGTGACAGTTAAGACTTTTAAATTGTTACAAAAAAAATCAAATTCTAATAAATGCTGTTCTTTTGTACATTCTCAAAAATATATAGTAATTTCCACAAAAATATTAAGCAAAATAACTTTTCAACATTGATAATATAACGAGCCTGGAGGAGCAGTTGCTGAAAATTCAGCTTTGACACGGCTAAATTACATTTGACATTAATAAATTGCATTTTAAAATACATTAAAAAGAAAAGTTATTTTAAATTGCAATAATATTGCACAATATTACTGTTTTTGATGCGTTTTTATCCAGTTATGCAGTCTTGAGGGCCCCAAACCTTTGAACAAATGTATTTGTTAACTGTTTAATAGTCAAATATTTATAAATGTCTTTCTCTGAGGCATCTAATACACTTGATGCATGAATATATATTTAAAAAAATGTTACATCTTTTTTTTGTTTTGTTAATAAAGTAACAAAAATACAACTATAAATGTATAATCTATAAAACGTCCACATCATACTGATTCTTTTCCCATGAAGCCTCTTTCTGCTTAGCAAGAAGGCTGTTTTTGGGAAACTGAGTTTATTAGATGTGGGACGTCCCACACCAATTTCATCTCTTGGCCTCTTTAGCTCAAGTCTCTGTTTGAAGTGATTGTGCTTTAAAGTGCTTTCAGAATTAGACAGATGTGTGTTGCTCTTGTTTTCTGATCAAGAGACTCTAAAGGAGAACTGTAAGTGGCATATATGACTGTGGACTGTCTCTTAGACGCTGTGTCTCCGGTTATGGATCATGGCCACAATGTGCGAAAGGTCTAAACTCTTCATCATCACCTCCATAAATTCTTCATCAGTACGTGCCCCTGCTACAAACTCCTCCAGCGACAGCTCCCCTGTTGAATGGAGAACAGTTAGCGATTATAGACGGGGAAAACATAATCATACTCTTTTAAAGATTGAATACGTTTCTTAAGATTAGAATCTTATTTTAATTCTCACCATCTCCATTGACGTCGATCCTATCAAACACTCTGTTTGTGAACTCCTCGGCACTCGATTCCTGCGACTCACTTCCATTGATGGCACGGATGGCCTAATGTAAAAAAAAAAAAAAGGATTTATATTATCTTTTCATAGCCATCTAGTGCAGTTTGTACTAATATTATCTTTCCTACCTTTATGATATTCAGGAGCTCGTGTCTGTCTATGCAGCCGTTGCCATCAACATCATAAAGTCTGAAATACCAGTGCAGTTTGTGCTCCATTTTGCCTCTCATTACAAGACTGAGAGCAGCCACATACTCAATGACGTCTATATAACCGTCCTGCAAAAGAGACAAACTCATTTAAGAAACATAATACATTTGAAACACTTGAGACCATTGTGACTGATGTGATACACTTCATATATACCGTTTTATGTCTGAGATGGTTGGTTTGCTTTATGGCTTAGAACAAATGAATAAAATACATCTGGAACGAAGTTGAAAGAGGAGTGACCTTTGAGATATGTCTACCAATCGGCATCCACATCTGGAACTGTGTGTTTTATATTTAATAAGTTGTAATATGTTTTATATTAGGTATGTGTTCCCACATTAGTCCTAAAGCAGCTGGATGTCCTTTGTTGTTCTCTTATTTATGTGATGGAGGTGTGGTGTGGAGGATCACGACTGGGATGATGAGGGTGCCCTCTGGAGGATTACTGCCAATTCCAAGGTCTCCGTCTGAGACATGGACACCAGCCGCTTGCAGACATAATCCTCAGGTCAACACATTTTCCTCTGAATGACACAGATCCCAGCTGTCTAGGGCAGTGTCACGGAGGAAGGTCATGGGCAACATTGAGGTTTGTCAATGTGGAGATATATGGATATTCTATATTGCATAGTTGCATATTGTTGAGTAATTGATCAGACATGCGTTTACTGGTATTCGTAGTGTGTAAAAGTCTGGAAAGTTTAACATTAGTAAAGATGCATCTTATTTCCAACTTTAAAAAAGAAAAGATATCTATATAATGCAGGCCTCAATAATATGGGGGCAAATTTGTGCCACTTAATCATTTGAGAAATTGAGAAATCAATTAGATAAATTATGAAATGTGTAATCATGGATAAAAATAATTTCAAAATGTAAAAAAAAAAACTAATAGAAAATCATTAAAATGATCATTATGAACAGTTTATGATTTACAATGTCACAATGATGTCAATGTCACAATGTCAGATTTAACAAAACAACCCCTGATAAACAATTTGCTGTAATCAAATTATAAAGCATTATAAAAAGCATTGTGAAAATTGACATCCAAAAATAGAAACAATATATCCTACAACATTATAAAATACTTATTGATTAAAAGCTATATATATATATATACAGTCCACAAAACCAGTCTTAAGTGTGAATTTTTCGATTTGATTGAGTTTTATACATCATCTGAAAGCTGAATAAATAAGCCTTTCATTGATGTATGGTTTGTTAGGATCTGAATCATATTTGGCTGAGCTGCAACTATTTGAAAATCTGGAATCTGAGGGTGCAAAAAATTCTAAATATTGAGAAAATCGCCTTTAAAGTTGTCCAAATGAAGTTCTTAGCGATGCATATTACTAATCAAAAAGTAAGTTTTGATATATTTACGGTAGCAAATTTACAAAATATCTTCATGGAACATGATCTTTACTTAATATCCTAATGATTTTTGGCATAAAAGATATATATATACACAAACACATGCAAAAAATATATATTAAAGCTTATTTTTTACACCGTTATTACCAATTGGGTTATAATTTCCTTTTTAATTTGTCTTTATCTATTTTCCTAGTATTATTGATTTCCCTGATCAAGGAGGGAGGCACAATAGTAAAGGGAAGTGGAGAGATTTAGCTTGACGATGCGTGTTGACTTTAAGACAAAGGTAATGACATACTCATTAAATAAGATAATTAAGATGAACATATCTGAAATACATGCTGGGAATATTGTAATAAAATGCTTATGTCGAGGTATGAGTAGCAATAGCATCATGATGCTTAAAACAGTTTTTGTGCCGAAAATCCCATTGGGACCCAATTATGAAAACATGTTTTGGAGTGGAGAAATAAAACAGTTGTTACTGCACGTGAATGGGATTGGTTTCTATAATACAATCTCAAACCTGTTCAGCAATCTGTAAATCTCAATCTCATAGATAAGCTCATTATTCATTGTATTAACACGAGTCTGTAAATAAAAGCTGACATGAAGTGCCAAATATAGCCCTATAAATATAGAGCCAGACAACACGGTAAGAATGATCTGAGATTTGCTCGGATCTGATTTGATAAATAATGAACTCACGTGTGCTGACCTGTGTACAGTGATCAGCAAATATGCGTTTATATACACACTACCATTCAAAAGTTTGGGTCTAGATTTTTTTAATGTTTTTAAAGTATCCTATTGCTCACCAAAATGCTTTTATTTGATCAAGATATAATAATCAGTAATATTGTGAAATACAATTTGAATAATGTGAATTAAAATTTTAAATGACTGTGTTCTATATTTAATATATTTCAAAGCTGAATTTTCAGCAGCCATTAGTCCAGTGGTTGGAGTTAAATGATCCCTCAGAAATCATTCTAATATGTTGATTTGGTACTCAGAATTTTTTTTTTTATTATTATCAATGTTGAAAACAGTTGTGCTGCTTAATATTTTCGTGGAAATTGTGATACATTTTGTTTTTTCAAGATTCTTTGATGAATATAAAGTTCAAGACAGCGGCATTTATTTGAAATAGAAATCATTTGTAACAATGTAAAAATCTTTCCTGTCTTTTTGATCAATTAGTTCATCCTCACTGGATAAAAGTATTAATTAAAAAAATAAATAAATCATACTGACAACAAACTTTTAAACAGTATATACACCAAATCTGTATATACCGTATATATGTAAAATCTGATTTAACAGAATGCAATGAGTCTCAAAACCTGCATATTATAACCAGTGTTTTAATAAAAACTGAAACGTCAAATACTCCAGCTATGCTGAAACCGTCTTTTAAAGGGGTCCTATTATGCTCTTTTACAAAGTCTGGATTTTGTTTCCGGAATATCGACGGATCGACGAATGGGACGAGACCTGGTTGAGCTGCACTAGAGAACCAGGATCCCCTTACCATAGCCGCCTGTGAGCTTCAGTGTAAATATTGGTCAAAATCAAATCAATTTGAGCGCGTGCAGAAAGTTTTCAAAGGCATCCTTAGCAACTGTTACTATCCACTCAAAATGAACTTTCACTCACCTTGTTCATGTCAAATGTGCGGAACATCTGCTCGATGTAGGCATTGGCCTCTTGATCCAGACCTCTGAGCCCGAAGAACTGTTTGAACTCATGCAGCGTGAGCTGACCAGATGGACACTCAGTCATGAACTTCTTATACCACAGATGCATTTCAACAGCCTGCAGGTCATCCACGGTGCTGCCCGTCGAATTCCCCATCGCTGAACTGAGAACTGATTGTTTTGGCGAGCAAGACTGGAGCTACTCTGTCAGAAATCCCAACTGGTCTGCTGTGCAGGCGAGTGTTTCACTTCTCACAGACACACGACACTGGAACCTAAGAGAGAGGTGGGCACCCTCAGGAGGTTTTTGTACTGGCCAGGGATCAGATACGCCCCACCAACTCCATCTTATTGATATTAACTGCGACTAATCCAGCTCACTGTGTATGTGAGGCTTAAGGATGACCGTGGCTGGGATGGCCATTGGTCATTGCATGTGAGCTTGGGGACATGCTGACAAATGTTCCCATGTGACGGCCTGTGAACAGATGCAACTGTGTCAGCATTTCTCGTATGCAAGTTGTTTCGAAGTTTATTTTCAAATTGTCAGCTGATAAATATTCATATGAATACATGTTAGAAGCCATGTCACAATTTTGAGCCATCATCTTATGCCAAGGTAACAAGCTTCAGCAGATATATTTTTTTCATACATGACAAAGCCTTTACAATTGGCCTAATTACGTATCAATATTTGCAATCTTCCTAATGATTCCAAAACAATGCAGGTACGAACATTATAGTGGCAAAATTATATATAATGTATTGTATAATTTGTTGTATAATGCCAAAAATCATTGGAGCCTCCACATTCTTTACATGAAAAAAAACATTTTTCAATTTGTTACCATTTGATTGTCAAATTACACATCACATCCATATTACATGGGTTTATAAATTCAACAATAATAGTAATAATAGTTTTACCATTCAAAAGCTCACATATCATAGACAGTATAACAGGAATGAAATGTGTCCTTTGAGATACGGTTCCACAAGAAATTAAGCCTATTATAACATTCAGAGATCCAAAATGCTGTGTATTCCTCTTTTCTCAAACCAAGTAAAACTTAGTCTTTTCTGGAAAGTTTCTAAAAATGCATTTTTTGGTGAGCATGATAGTACTTTGTTCTCAGAACACAGAGTTTTCCATTACAGAGAAATTTAAATGCTTTAACAGTCAATATGATGTTTTGGATAAGTAATAATATAGACAATATTCAAAGCTCGTGTTCCTAAAATGGGGTACTGGCACACACAGTCACAATCTGCCCATAGGAAAACTTCAATGGACCCTTTTCACCGTCTGTGATGACGTGTTTCCATAGTTACTACAATTGTAAATCAGCGTTTCTTGATATGTTATTTTTTTATGAATTTATTGTAGCATACATTATAGCGCTATACTTTGAGTTATATTTTGTTGCCATTAAATGATTAAAAACAATAAAATCAATACAAAAATAGCTGTGAGGGTGTTGTTACTCAATCTATTTTTTTCTTTTTCTGTTTTGGAAAATCAAGGAAACCCTACAGTGATTTCTTTCTTTTGCTACTGAAGCAAATGGGAATACAAAAATCATATTTGCTGTTGTCTCCCATTCACCACTATAGAAGTTTACCAAACTCGGGGTTATTATCATTAACTAAAACCATAAAAATAAACATTAATATTACTCGAAATGAATAAACATGGCCTAAAATGACAAAAGCTTAATGAAAACAGAAAATATAAAAATAAAATAAGAAATAAGAATAAAACTGTAATGGTACATTAGGGATGCTGAAGTAGCACTGCTCACTTCTGAGAAACCCTGAAATGTGAAAGAGGTCCAATAAATCATATGTTGGTGAATTGGTTCAGGTTACCCCACACAAATGATGATGATTAGAGTTTTGTCTCTTACTGATGATACAAATTCCCACTTGTTTCAGAATATATTTTACTATGAGTATTTAAGGTTACTCTTTTACCCAACATACTGTATATTTGCTCCAACCACAGACATGAAATAAAATAAAGTTGGTAAAATATACATATGTGCTAATGGTAATGATCTGCCTCTTCTCCCTGACTATTAATCTACATTCAGTGGATATGCAAAAAAATAAAATTTGCTAGGGTAAAAACAATGCTGTTTAGGATTAACTGTGAGGCAAACCGAGATACTATGAACTTAACCAACTTTTCTTAATTGTTTTCTTCTGGTAGAATACTGGTTTAGACCTGAAAACCAGGTGCTGTGTTCAGTCTTCAGTCTGTCAGGTGTGGTTATAACAGTGGTGGACTCTCCCTTAACCTCTAGACCTCAGTACTTTCAATGAGCCCTTTGAAATGAACAAAAACTCAAGACTGCAACATACAACTCGAGTAGTACAGAAACATTACAAACTTCTACATGTACCGATGCATTGATATTGTTCTCCTTGGAGTCTATAAATCCATTTAAGATCCATGAATTATTTTTTTCCAGGAACGTTCCTTTGAGTTCATAAGCACTTTATGTCCTTCATCAGTCTGACTCTGTTTCGCTGCTGGAGAGCATCTCTATGGACGTCCTACTGCGGCTTCTGGTCCACCAGTGTAGGCTCCTATGAATAGAATCGAATACCGCTACCGTGTATCTGGCAAACACCGACATCCTCTTGATCACTGCCAAAAAACAGTTCACAGAGCGAGATACAAAGCTGACAAACACTGTGGTGTAGTGTGCCAGAAGAACGAGACTGCGTCCCAACTGTTTTCCATAATTAATAATCATGTTAAGCTTTAAATCATGTCGTCCCGTTCTGTTTTGAACCATGATGTAACTCCAAACCTAAAATAATAGTTGTATCTGGTTTCTATTATCTCTTGCAAACAACCATACCTAATTTAGTTTGATTCTACATTTTATTTTTGTGGACGGTCCCTTGGTGTACAGTTATGCGGCTCACTGTGTCACTAGTAGTTTTCACACGCTCCCTTGCGCGGTCCAATCACAGCGTTGCGTTTCTGTTTCCGGGATGTGTGGTGATGTGGCTCTAAAATCCTGGAGACAAAATTGATCAAATAAACCACGCAGCTCTTCCCTGCGCCGATTACACAGGTCAGTTTTATGCTTTAATAACATTAACAAGATGGCTCTAAATGTATTCAGCAGCTGACACGCACAAACACAAGTAACGTTACATTTATAAATATCGTTAGAGTTGTTTACGAATCCTCAGCTAGAGCCCAGTTACAGCTTGCGTTCATTACTGCCGCTCATTAGGCTTTAATTATGCCATTTTATAACCAATATCAAAAATAAAAGCCATACCTTTATATGTCTTGATCATGTGTTCTTATACCAATCGATTTTAAAACACAAGGAAGAAGAGTCGCTCAATAATCTTTGCTGTTGTGTAGACGAAATGAAAGCGACGCAGCCGCAGTCGCCCGTTTCTGTGTTTCGACGTTGTTCGGTTCTGTTCGTTTTTCTCTGATTTATGGCTCTGTCAAAGGTGGTTATTTATTATCAGGAAATACAGTCAGGTATTATTGTTATACAGGCGTTCACGCCTCCTGTAGTTATTGTCAGTACAGGGGACACACATTACGTAACAGATTTGAGCTCATCAAGTGTTCTAGTTATGCATTATGTATTTTGAGTTATGCATATGATGTGCTCACAGTCTGTGTACAGTTATAATCAATGGGAAATACAAGAATATAAACTAACAAATATTCAGACTAACCATTCGGTAAGATCTTTTCCTTTATGCAACCTATATTTGTTTTATTAATGTGGTGTAATGCAACAGTGAGGCGTGATGCAGAACAGACGCGTTATATTTATATAAACTGAATATTTAATGCCAAACTGGTAATTAATAGTGAGTGCCATTTAATTTAAAGAGGCCAGATGGTATTTCAAAGGTTTGATTTGAATAATTACCTTTGTCACATTCCATTGTATTACTAGTTGTTGGTTGCCTGATATAGGATCTTGAGAGCCAAATGACCGTTTTAGGTAGTGTGGTCATGATTCACCGAAGTTCTGCCCTCATGGAACATTAAAATGAAAATGTTCACTAATTTTGTAATAATTTGAACTTTTGATGTTGTGCATACATGTGAGTTGTGTCCCAGATGGGAAGTCCTTATTTGATTTATATGATTATATGATTCTGGCTTTATCTTTACTTGTGTCCTGAATGTGTCAGAGCAGTTTCAGTAATGCACACAATACAGAGCTTGATACAAAATACTCTGTGCATTTACATGCAGGTCAGCCATGTTTAGCCGGCTGACCCAAGGGGTGTCCTCTGTCCTCCAGGAGCTCTCGGGTGAGGAACGCTCCGATGGAGACTTCCAGGTGAGTAGACAAAATCTGAACAATCCTTGGAGTGATATTTTTGGTCAATACCAAGAAACTTTGTGGAACACACATGGACATTGCAGTTACTCAGATAATTATAGTAACACATTTCCTATCCAAATTTCCTATTAAGTACTTATTTACAGATTTATGAGTTAGTTTACAAGCCTTTTACCATCTTAAATTGATTTGCATGGATGGACCACTAAAGGCCCGTTCACACCAAAGACAATTAACTATAACAATAATTATATGGTCGTTCTAAATGTAAAAGAATAGCAGAGTCCATAAAACAACTATAACAATAACAGCACAGACGAACGATATCATTGGAATCACTTTCAGAATGATTTTTTTCCCCAGCTGATAAAAGATTAAAAAAAAAAATCTAAATCCATCCGACTTTAAAGAGCTTGAGCATTTAAAAATGGCAGATGACAAAACTGCAGCGAATGCTTAGAACAAACAGACCGTTATTGTGCGTTGTGGTGTGGTGTGGATGGTAATATAGTTATCGTTATAGTTATCTTTACAGTTATTGTTCTTGGTGTGAAGGGGTCTTAAGAATAAGACATGCATAAGTAGACAAACAAGAACAGTGCTAAGTTAACACCATTTGATATTAAAGTTGTAATGAAATGGAAGTAGCAACAGATCTTACCTTCTATATTGTGACATTTACATTTATTCATATGGCAGATGCTTTTATCCAAAGCGACTTACAGTTGAGGAATACAACAAGTGATTTACCATAAGATGACAATAAACACGAGAAGCTGTGTTGCATGCTCTGTTAGGAAGGGTCTGATCTTCCTGATGCTGTGTAGTGTGAACCTGCATGATCGTACCGTATTTGCAATATGATCTTTAAAGGTCAGCTTATCATCAAGGATCACCCCCAAGATTCCTTTTACACGTATATCTGAACAGAATAACAAAAAAAGAAAAAAAAATGTAGGGTGCCAACT